TATCCAATTTTAAAGACCATGTTTTTCAATGACATATTATAAAAAAAAACAATATTCCCTATTTCCAACGATTCCTTACGAATACGAGGTCGCTTGTCAAATATTTCTTTATCTATCTGTCTACTTTTTGCAGTAGAAGTAGCGACCTCCTCAACCCTTTCCTCAGTTACCATCACTTGTCTCACCCTTAATTTCAACAACTCTTCCGTTTAAAGTTTCGTTTCCACATCCTGCTTTCGCCCATGTAGTCACGAAACTCTCAATTGGAAAAATTGCATGTCGCCCTAACCACAATGTGACTGGAGCATACCTAGTTGTCCGCTTAATAGTGACATTCTCAACAAATAATGTTGTCCTAAAGTATGTTGGTCATTTTGATGGATTATCCGTACACCATTTTTCCAATAAATTTGTTAGAGTGGCATGTCCACACTCAACCGACGCATTTACCTGGGGATGTGTCTTTGTAGTATAGTTAAATCTTACTCAAAGCTTCTTCAAAAGTGTTTGCACTTTCCCAGCCCGAAACTCACCACCTCGATTCATGACGAATTCCCGAACAAACGAGTATCGAAGATAATACTCTTTGATGCATTCTGCAAAAACCTGCCCAGTATGCTCGTGAATGGCACAACCATCAACGAACCCGGTTAGGTTATCCCTTGCATCGAAGATATATCTCTACCTATTAAAATAATGTGTCATAACGAATAGATCAATATGTACCACAACTCCCGACTCACCTTCATAGCGCGGATTAAGGGGTTCAATAAAACACACATTACATCGCCCTTGGCAAGAGAAACAAGATTAAAAAAAGTCGATTACCATCTTGCTCATCCCTTCCCATAAATAAAGATGTTGATTTTTGTTCAAAGTGACTTGTGTCGATTTATGTCCGTCAAAAGCACCATCGTGCAAGGCGGCAATCACATCAAGTTGTCGTGCAATCCCATACACCACTCTCTTTGGAATACCATCATTAGATTTCTTGAAAAGATAACCATATCGAACGACAAAGTCCTTATTTTTTTGTCGAACAACTGGATCAACTTCATTCTCTCTCACCTCACCATTCAACCACATCCCCATCATCAATTTATACTCCCCACCATATTCTCCTTCTCTAAAAGCTTCCCTGATTTCACTGCCTTCCCCTTCTTCATTCGTCATCTTCAAACTGTCCTCGTGAATCAAAGAATTCACAAGAACATACATTTTTCCAGCGATCCTAAAAATCTCATCAACTTGTGCATGTTCATGCTCAATCGTTAGCGACTCTCTGATAAACTCGACCTTATCAGATAAAGTCAAACTCATTATTTGCTCAGACGTCCTTTCACCCTGTAGGTCCTCCTCAATGAATGACTCCCTCATTACTAACTCTGATCGCAAATGATAAAAACTATAAGCATTCCAAATGGTTTTCTCATGTCGGGTTGTTGCATCCGCCAAGTAATTATATGAATTGATACTTAATTGCAACTCTTTTCCTTTCAGAAACTCATCCACAAGGACTGAATCCTCAGCTGATCCGTCGATGATTCTCAATCAACACGACTCAACCCATCTACGGGTGAGTGTCTGAAATGCGTTCAATTTCAAAATTGAACATCCAAATATATGTCAGCCATCGAGCAATGATTGAATCAGACGGATAATAATTTTTGAGTGATTGAGTTGAAGCTGTGGGATCAACTCTTAAAATAAACCGTCTGCCAAACACATAATTCCAGAAGATACGAAGACAGTGAAGCACTGCGAAAGTTTTCGTTTTGAACCGATAATAGTTTCGCTCAACAGTATTCAGAGTTCTGCTTTCAAATTTCAAGGTTCGCTCTCGTCCTTCCTTATCCTTTTGAATTAGGACTCCACCCAAAGTCGTGGGACCCGCATCAGTCTCAATGATGAAAGGACGTTTTGTATCATTATGAAAATAATAAACTGTTAAAATCAAACTTCCTTCTCGAAACTCAGCCTTTATATCCTCAACGACCGTTCATTGCTTCGCTCCTCAATCCCAAATCTGATTCTTGCGTACTTATTTCCGCAAGTGTTCTACTCTCGTTGTGACCCCGCGGATTAAAAAAAAAAAAAAAATTAAGTTCAAAGAAAACTTCGAACATCGGTAATAGATCTAAAGGGAGTCAGTCATTCCAAGAGTTTACTACTCTTCTTCACATCGGGCCGATGACTTTTTTCATCGCAAAGAGATCCCAGTATTACAACCTTCCTCATATAATGTCTTGATTTTGCCCCACTGGGTGTGAGGTTATACTCCTTTAATTTCCTCATGACCTTTTCTACATCGCTGATGATCGCTGATGTGTTCCCAAACGAACTTTCGAACGTCGGCTAGTCTCATCCTTAATACGAGGTCCTGGGATGATCAAGTTATATATATATGGAGAAGTCACGTCCGGACAGAGCGTTTGCATAACCCTCTTTATATATCTTTGTACAATCGCGACAACATTTGTCCAACCTTGTGGTGCCGCACACATATGAAGCAAGCCCCGAGGCGTATACATCGCCGTCATAGGCCGATCTGTCGTATTCAACGGAAACTGATCATACGCCGAGTACAAATCAATTAGGGTGATGATGGGTCTGCCTGCACAATAATTCTTAGAGTTTATCTGCGTTCGGAAGTCTGCCCGCATCACGAACCATCATAGAATTCGACTTTTGCAGGTCCTGAACCCTTCTCAAAACACCATTCGGCTTGATGAAACAGAACTAAGGAGATGCATACGACCCGTACGAATAATTAGCCACCTTGGTCCGAATCTTTCCGTCAAGATAATCAACAACGTTTCTATGATCCTCAAAATTCGGATATCGTAGACCCTTTACATTCCATGACTGATGCAACACCGTATGAATACGGATCATCGGGATCATATCGACGTCCAGCCGTCCACGCTCATCATCATCAAAAGCATAAGTCAAATGAACTCTCCTTATGACGTCGATAAAAAATTTGGTTTCCTCCTTGGTGAGGATATCATGCTCCCCAATGATCATATCCTTCACCCTTTATTCTGTCAGCCGACACGACCCCTTTTCACCGTTCTCTTTCATTGCCCTGATTCACGCACGTTCCTCTTTATAATGTACTTATTTTTCTTGAGTGATCAGAACAGACACCAGCCGAGCCTTCTCGCCTACTTCTTATATTTTCTTTTAGACCCAACGTTGAGTCTCCGCGCTCTAAAAAAGTCCCTTTCCTAGCCAAAGGCAGAGACTTCTCCACACGGGAGTCATTTGGTCGATAAACGAGATGCATAGTCCCCGCACCTCCTTCCTTAGTCACCACTTTTGTGAGGGTCTACACCAAGATTAGATCGATCGCAGGGTATGTTGACACAAAATCAATCGTCTGCAAGATATCCGCCAATGACAAGGAAAATTATTCAGGATCATACTCCTTGAACGACTCTTTTTCCTTCCTTAATTTTTTCAATTCCGAACAGGTATAAGATTCGAGATTCAGTTGATTCCGCGAATTCTCCGGCCCGGTGTTTGCACATCTCACCACTTCATAGTAACTAGTACAGACCGGGTCGCATAAAGCCACAAACGTGGTACTATCATGTTTGTTGATTATTATGTTTTCTGTGTGACACAAAAACGATATTCCTAAAAGCATCCCGTGCTCCACCTTTGACAAAATATAAAAATACGATCGCAATTTGACCTTTCCAACTGTAACCATCACACCACTAGTCATGCCATAAAACGGAGTCGCACAACTGAACCCAACAAAAAATCCGAAGTCGTTACGATTGATTTGCGTTCCGGCCTCAATCGCATGTCTCTCCCTCATTATATTCATCTCGGCTCCGTCATCCACAAGGACAGAAAATTCTCCAAGGTCTATACAGACGTTCATATGTCATGTGGCTACACATTGCCAATCAATTTTTATCCTAGGAGGATCCCGGTTAGCCTCTGGGCAAATAATCCTTCCAAGCTTAACTGTCATGACCTTCTTTCACGTTATTCGTTCATTGAATTCCTCGCGGAGTTTTGGCGAAACAGCTAGAGTCTCCTTCAAAGTGATCAAGTCACGCTAACTTTCCAAAGTTTGATGCACAAGCTGCTCAAAATCAATCTCTTTTTTAATTGGGATTGTATATACATTCTTCTTCTTGCGAGGTTCTTCCTCTTCAACCTCCACCTTCCCATTCTCCGTTTTTTTCCCCCCCATAGCCCGCTGCCTCGCTTGCGGTTCATCCTCTGCATGCAACCTTTCATCCTCCTCATTGTCTTCTTCCTTTATTGGAATAGGTTCCTCTTCTCGAGGTCCCTTTAAACTTTTCCGTGGCATAGACTGCGGATGAGAAGTTTTTCTTTTTTGGCGTCTTTTTCGGTCGAAGGAGTTTCATATCTGCATGGTTGTGTTTCCCCACCCTCTTGTCCCTTTTTCCTTTCTTCTCCTCGTTCTATCTTTTCCTTGCTCCCCTTCTTTCTTTTGCTTTGAAGACGGGCGACAACCTTGAGATAATCTCGTGGAATGGAACTGGCGGGCCCCACACTATTCGGGAATTTAGTTCATCTGTTTCACTCTGGACTCGAACTCAGGTTTGCATTTCAACAGTTTGTGGGTGTACCAACCGAGCTAAGCCGGTTGGTGTGGCCCGATCCTTTTCTGGGTACCGGAGAAACGGGCCAGTCCATCTCGATTCGAACTCAGATCTGCATTTCAACAGTCTGTGGGTGTACCAACCGAGCTAAGCCCGTTGGTGCCGCGCGGTTTTGTTCGCACGGGCGAGATGGATAGATAGATAGGGCATAGCCACATACACTCTCGAAATGTGCAAAATGAGAATGAACTGGCCGCTAGAACAGGACCAAATGCACCCGCCACATTTTTGTCTTTTTCACATTTCGAGAGTGGTGTGGCGAGGCCCATAGATAGAGAGAGAGAGATAGAGAGACGCTTTGTTGAGGGCGCGGTTTTGGCGCGTCGTGTTTGCGTTCGCACAGGCGAGTGATCTCAAGGATGAAGTGGGCGGGGGTAGAGGGCGAGTGAGAGAGAGAGAGAGAGAGAGAGAGAGAGAGAGAGAGAGAGAGAGAGAGAGAGAGAGGAGAAGAAAAGCACGATACTTAAGGGTCGGCAAGCAAGAGGAGATTGCGAAAGCAATTGGAGAGAAAGAGTGACCAACAAAAACAAGTTAGTAGATTTTCTCCAGCTCACACCCCCACAGTCCTCATCCCGCCTTCTTCATTCCGAGCCCCTATTGGCCTTTACAGTCAAACCTTTAATCTCTCTTTTTCTCTCTCGTCTTCCTTTCTTTCTTCTGCTCAGTTTCTATTTTCTGCTCAGTTTCTCTCTTTCTTTCTTTCTTTCTTTTCTTCCTTTCCTCTTTGCTATGCTTTCTTGTTCTATTTCTTTCCTCCTTTCTTTGTATCTTTCGTTCTTTCTTTGTTTCTGTGTGTTTCTTTCTTTCTGCCTTCTTTTTCTCTCCGCTGCTTCTCTCGGCAGCCGTCATATTGCCTTTTGTTCTTCAAAGAATGAAGCAAAAAGTCATTCGAACGAGGCTGGGGGAGAGGCGCGAGAGAGGCGAGGGGGAGGGCGGGGGAAGGCGGAGGAGAGAGCTGGAGGAGAGGCGGGGAGGAGGCGGGGGAGATGCCGAAGAT